ATGTTCACTTAAAGGTCACTGACTTTGCTGTTGAAGGAGGGTTTGTGAAATTTCACAAAAATGTCCCTGTCATGAAACCCCTGCAGACACATAGATTACAGGACAATCTTTAACCCTCCTGTTACTGCTTCTGAAGAAATGCAGTCAGGTGTGCACAGGTTGACAAGTGGGTATTGTCTTCTGGCTGCTCCTTTATTTATATACTCTCAAAATTTCAGTGATTCTGCAGCTGAAACAACCAACGATCTTTCCCACCCCTTTCATTACTGTGATCACTCCACAGCTTTGCAAGAATTGAGTTCCTTATAAACGAGTGTGGTGCTGGGAGGACTCTCACTTTTTACAAAACATGGCATTCAGTCAATATGACTTGAACATTATTGTGCTGATGCAAAAATAAAACTTGCATGCATGTCCATCTTTGTTAATTTAAGAGACAAATGTCAGTGCCCTTCACTTGGTCAGTTTTCGGAAATGCTTCCTCCCTGTTAGAGCCAAATGAATGAACATGACGTAGTGTACAAATGAGGAAGGGCAATAAGTTCAGTCAGTGTGTGACACAGGGTCAGAATAAGGAGCAGTGCTGTGTGCTTCTTTATTTCCAGCTGTATTTTGCAATATATCAGACACATTACAATAGACTATAACTTAGGATAGATCAGTGAGCTAACGATGCACGTAGAGCTTTGAGAAGATTCAGAGATGATATTAAAAACTTTTTCAAGCTTTGGTCTGCCCTGTGCTTGATTATTCAGCTGGAATCCCAGGCCTTATAAATGAACATTTGTTTAAAAGAAACCATATTTGCTGAGAGTACAGAGCAGTGACAGTACTGACATAGGAGTGTTATGAACCAAAGGATAACAAAATGTGACTGGCACAAAGAATGTTGTATCAAATGTATCTAAGAAGACAAGGTCTACCCATGTGCTAAGAAGAGATCTGGTATTTTACCATTCAATACTGAAACTGTACAGTGTTTCACTCTAGAAGAGCAAAAACAAATCTGAATCACTGAATCATATAAACGTAATTTTGTTTGCTATTAGTTAATAATAGAAACTGATCTATTATGAAACTTCCTTTAAGAACAAATGAATTATTCTGTAAGACTGTTAAGGACAAACTTTGGTTTGCAGTATTTCTTTTCTTTCTTCTGTTATTTCGTATATAATATTTTGTAAATTTTGCACTTAAACATTTTTCATTTTCATGTCTATGTACATATAATGTTAATTGGCGTTCCTTTTGGTTTTGTATACCAAAAGGTTGCATATTATTAATGTTACACAGAGGTTCATTTAAAAGGCCAGTACAAATGAATGGCTAATTTACACACTTTACTGGCTTAATTCTCTTAATTTGTACTGCACAGTTCATTCAGATTGGATTTGGCCAAGCAAATGACCCATTAACCCTTTTGGAGTAAAAACAATGCATTGACTCACATTACCTTGATCTAATTTCCTCAGTGAGTCACTCTGGTCCATTAACAACAAGCTGCTCTTGCCCCTAGGTTCTAACTACAAATTAAACAAATGTGTAATGGACATGTTTCCACACAGAGGTGAAGATGTCAAGCCTTTAATATGCATGGGACATTAAAAATCAAACTGATGGTGCCTGGGCATGGAGGCATCAGAGCATGTTAGACCAGATTACAGGGTGATGTGAAATGGCAGGGAGGTGAGGTAGATGAAACAGCTGGGTCGGTACACCACACATGTTTCTGGAACATGGGGCCACAGACAATGTGGAGACGTCAGAGCCTTTCATGTTCAGGTTGAAGGCTTTTGTCAAGGCAGGGCAGGCTGAAACACGTTT